GGAGCCGCCGTCGTTGTCGCTGTCGCCGGGGAGGATGAAGATGCAAGCCGAGGGGATCCGCGAGGGCGAGCTGGAGAAGCGCAGCGACAGCCTCTTCCAGCTGTGGAAGAAGAAGCTGGTGGTGCTCACCAAGGACAGCCTGAGCCTCTTCCCCGACGGGCACAAGCGCGCCAAGGGCAAGGAGCTGGGCTTCGGCTCCATCCTCAAGGTGGACTGCGTGGAGCGCACGGGCAAGTACATCTACTTCACCATCGTCACCAAGGACCGCAAGGAGATCGACTTTCGGTGCCCGGACCAGAGCTGCTGGAATGCCTCGATCACCATGGCCCTCATTGACTTCCAGAACAAGCGCGCCATCCAGGACTTCAAGAGCCGCCAGGAGCTGGAGCAGGCGGCGGGCACCCAGGAGCGGCGGCTGGCCCGGGCACCCTGAGCCCCTGCCGTGCACCCGGCACATGGTGAGAACGGCCGCCCGGCCTCCTTTTCCTCCTTCCTTTTTTCCCCCCTTGCTGCTTTTTTTTTTCTTTCTTTCTTTTTATTTTTTAATTATTAAAAGAAAAAAATCTATACTTTAAAAAAATTTTTTTTGCTTTTTTCCGTGCGAGCCGGAGAAATCGGTGGCTCTGCCATCTCTGTCTTGCCACCCACGGCCCCAGCTTGTGGGGGGCCGTCGGGACTGGTGCCTGTGTGGGCTGCAGATTTAGGCTAGGAGGTGCTGGGGGTGGAGGAGGAAATACCACTGAGCAGTGATTTCCTTGGAGAATTCCCTATAAAGGCACCAGCCGGAAAAATAAATTCCGGCCTCTCGGTCTCCCTTTAAAGTCTCAGTTTTTCTCTCTGCTGCCCTGTTCACTTAACTTTATTAATTTTTAATTATTATTTTTTGTTGCCTTCAGAGCATACTGCTGGCTGATAACAAGATCAAGTGTCTTGGACTGAAATGGAACAGGGTACCAATGAAGGAAAGCGAAGACGGAAGCTGGAAGCAGCTTGGTTTTTCACCAAGCCTGGTTGAGGCTGCTGAGCAAAGAGCCCCGAACTTTGCCTGAGATGCATAAAAAAATAAAACAGAAAGAAAAAAAAAATTGAAACCAAAGACTTTCGAAAGGACTCATAGCGAAGCGCCCACGTGTTCGAGGTGGTGCAGCTTTGCTGGCAATTATCTCCTATTTATGAGATGCAAGGAAGATTCAACACTGACTGGTGGTGTTACGAACGGTTTTAAATTATTTGCAGTATCTATATTTGTATTTATTTTGATGAATGTCTTTCAGCTGTTGTTAGTCTTAATATTGCTTTTACATTAATATGTCCATTCCAAATAAATTACTTGAAATGTTCACTTTTTATCACTACGCTTGGTGGTGCAGTAACTTGTGTGGCTGCCGGCGCGGCTCGCTCTGGGGGCAGGAGGGGGATCCTCAGTGGTCCATGTGTGCGTGAGGGAGCTCAGAGCTGGCTCCACATGGCGCTGGAAGTGTCAAAGGCTCCTGGGACACGTGTTCATTTTAAAGCGCTTTCGCAAGTGCTCTAGTAATGGCTGCTTAGTCCTTGCTGTGCCGAAAGGAAGTGGAGGATTTGCCAGCAATGATCAAGTGCTCCTGTCTTCTGACAACCCCTGTCTTGGCCCCACTGTAGCTCACTGTTACGCTAAGGCAGAAAGGCGGCTTGTTCACTTCAGTCTAATCCAGCGGCGAAGCCGAAGGGGATGCCTGCCCGCTGCAGTGTAGGAATCTAAATTCCCAGCTCTACTGTCTTGCTGCTCCTCTACAGCTTCAAGGGCTGGTTAAACTGCACCGGAATAACTGGGGAAAAGTGAGACAGGCTTTTTCTGGCAGTGCTGTGACCAAGAGCTCGGCGACACGGCTGGTTCCTTGTGGAAATCACTGAGGTCCATAGCCTCGATTTGGCAATTGATTATTATTATTTTTTTCTACCCCCTCAATATCAGTGCTAGGAGCCTTGATACCCATAGAGGACGTTGTTTATAAAAGCTTATATAGTAACAAGCAGCTTGCAGCGAGAGCAAACAAGGAGCATGGAGGGGGAGTAGTTTTGGGAAGCGAGCGCGAGGGCTGCATGCTGCAGTGCGCTGAGTGGGGTCCCCTTGCCTGTGACGTGGGGGCTTTTAGCCCTGATTCCACAATAGCAAGAATAAAACATTCCCTGCGCTCCTTTAACACAGTAAGAGTGGCTTTGCTTCCCCAATTTATCTTGGTGTTACTGAAAAAAGCCCAAGCGGAGCCGCGATGCTGGCTGCTAATCCCCTGGCTCTGGGGGAATGCGACCCGCAGCAGCTGCGGCGCCAGGCGGGCAATGGGACCGGCAGCCCCGGCGCCCCAGGCCCTGCGGCCACCACCGGCTGCCGCCCGGAGCGGCGCTTGGGCAAAGCGGACGCTTTTACTTTTTTATCCCATCCGTTAACTGGTCTCTAGCCACAGATGTTGAAGGCATGCAACGTGTTGTTGAAAGCGATTTATTCCAGGTATGTGGAATCAAGAGGAAATTACCAACCATGACTTGTTAAGAATTATTTCTGTGGGGGGGAAAAATATGACTTTCCTGAAGCCACGTCAGAGGCTTTTTTTTTCTCCCAGCGGGATATTGCTCCTGAGGAGGTAGGCGAACAAGCCCACGTTGATGCTGAGCTGCAAGCAGCCGAAGGAGGAGACGCCGAAGTGCTTGTACAAAATGCCGCCAATGGTAGGCCCCAAGGTGCGGGTCAGGGGCTGCACTGAGGCGCAGAGTCCCAGCATGGTGCCTAGGGGAACAGCAGAGATGAGCTTGCCTCAGAGCTTCAAGGAGAGCGCAAAGGGCCCTGCTTGGCCCTCAACGCGTTGCCAGTGCTAGTGGGAAGTCAAATAAGCTCTTCATTACGAAAAAATAAATAAAACTTTGGGTAGAGCCTAAACCCCCTTGAGATACCTCCCTTGCAAAGAAGAGGGATGCGAATTTGAACAGCACTGTGAGCCCAAGCTCTGCTCAGAAAGGTCTTTTTTTTTTTTTTTTCGCCATTTTTGAAACCTTTTTCTTTAATAACTGATCTGGTCACGGGGCCGCTGGCATCCACGTGGGGCTGGCCGGGAGGAAGCGGGCAGCAGGCGTGGCAGTGCTTGGGGCCGGGCGCAGCCCTTGTGGAGGTGGCGATGGCAGCGCGGGCGCAGCCGGGGCGGGCGCTCCCGGCCCTGGCAGAGCCGCAGCACCAAAGCGCTGGGTGCGACAGCAGCCTGACCCCCTGCCAATGGGAACCGGCCCACAGCCACCCAGCTCTCTGGGCAGGTTTTGCAATTACCTGCCTCCCTCTAGGGAGCCGAATTAGACTAATTGCCAGGTGCCTTTGGCAGGCTGGCTCTTACCACTGGAGAGGCACATTTTTTTTTTTTGGTCCCCCACTCCCCTTTTTTTTTTTAATTTAGGAGCACAAAGCCGAGCTATTAGCGGGGCTCTCCCTTCACAATCATGTTTCTGAACAACAACAAAAAGTCCTATTCAATAGGCTTCAATTAAGTGTACGCTAGTGGTAAGGCTCAGCTGTGCTGCACGGATGTTGCAAAGACACATATGCCATGGGCCTCAGCAGATCTCTTGTACTATTCAGTTTCATGTGGGCCATGCTCAGCTGAGGCGCAATGAGCCCTTCGTCCTGGTGCTGGTCTCCCAGTCTTTGCACACTAACTGAAGGCTGGAGGCCTGGAGGCCTTTTGGTGTGGGGTACAGTGAGGGTCTGTCCTCAAGGTGAGCCTGTGGCTCCCTCAGGACACGGCTGCATGCGGAGGGGCCGGGCCCGGGCCCGCGTTTTGACTGAGGCGCGGGTGGAGCCGCGGCCGCAGCGCGGAGCCGCCCACGGGCAG